ATTAATATACGGTTTGTAATAATTTTAGTGAATGCAGTTATTCTTAAAATTTATTTAATGCCAGTTTCAAATATGAAAAGTAATAAAAAGAAAATTAGTTCATATGTATTCTGTCTTTTTTATCTATTATTCGTATATTTTTGTAATAAAAATAATTTAAATATAAAATAAACTAATTTATATTTTCTTAACTATTTCTGTTTATTATATAACATTTTTTGTATAAAAATTTAATATTTGTTTCTTGTAATTTATAGTATATATTAAAACTGTTAATTAATATTATAACAAATATTTATAGAAGGAAAATTATTAGCTTTATTTTTGTAAAAAAATAACAAAATAATTTCCCTTTTACATTCTTTGTTCCACTCTCCTATTCTATTGTCCGTATCAATGCGGAAAATAAATTGATTTTTTACTCCTAATTATAAAAGATTTTTACAAAAATTAGTTTTTTACTTTGTAGCTATGAAGGGTCTTCAAAGCAGGTAAAAAACATTATAGATTCGTTACGCTCAAAAATAATAAAAATGATTATATCAAGTTAATATAAAAGTATTTAATGGCAAATAGCCCTGCACTAATGGTAAAATGAATAACACATGTATAAATAAGAAGTATATATAAAAAGTATAAATATTACAGAAAAAATAAGGTACCGACTGTAATGGATTGAATATAAAAGGAGAACATAATGTTAACGAAACAAAGTTGAACAGTTTAATATTGATTGAGACTATGAGAAGAAATATGCATACTAAGAAAATGTAAATTTTAGACATAAGATTAATTTCTGAAAAACTATAAAATACTTAGTAGCAAGTTGTAAAAGCATATCGAAGAGACTTAGCCGACATTAAACGTTACTGAAGATACAAAGATCTTTAGATAGAAAATAAATATACGAAAAATATCTGTATAAGCAGAACCCAAGGTTGTAATATATACCTTACTAAATATCTTCAATACTTTAACATTGGGAAATACATAGGGAAAACTGTGTTTCTAATTCCGAATATTTTTTTTACACTCTTAAAGAAGCAGTGTTACATATTCCTGCATACTTTTCACTGCATTATTATTTCAGGATACACTGAAGTACCAGATAGAGTGATTCATGAAGCTGTAAGTTATTTTTCACTTAATATATAAAATCGATGTTTCAAAGAATAATGAATTCATTACACAGAGATTAAAATTTACGAACGTTAATGAATTTATGAAACTAGTTCATATTTATATTACTTTCGTTATCCGACCAGGACTTAAAGAACAATATGTGTTGGTTAAATTAACAAACAAGCCAATAGCATTTACGAAGATGAATAATGAATAGAATGTAAATTACAAATATTCTGTTTTAGATCAATACCAAAACCGAAATATAAAAATTAGAGCCACTATTACTTCTCTTTCTTGATTTTATAAGAAGTATATTAAAAGCAGTAGATGAACAAGATCTTACGTAAAATAAGAATGAGATAAGAGAGAAAGACAGAGAGAGAGAGAGAGAGAAATCTAATAATTCATAGAGAAAGAAAACAATAATGCATAGAATCAGCGACTAACGTGAACAAAAATTAAAAGTACTGAGAGAAAATTTGAAAAAAGACAAGTTTCCATACTATTATTACAAACAATAGTTAGGTGGGCGTTAAGTTTTCATATATTTTACCTTGCTTAAATATAGTATTTCACAATATTTTATAAGAATATAATTAACATTCTGTGAAAGAATGAATGAAAAAAATAAATATTATGAATACACATAAAAATATATAACAAAATTATTCGTATGTGATGAAGTATTTATTTAAATATAATCTTTAAAGTGTTAAGAATATATTATAATGTAATTTGTCATTAAATAATACAAATATCCTTTTTAGTGCATAATTTCGTGTTACGGCTGTACAATTGATTAATGTCATACAAACGGATCTCCTAAACTTATATATTTGTAAAATAAAGCAATATTTTTCCTCCTGTTTTTCTTTTAAAAGAATTTTTCCACTATATTATTTTTTTTATTTATAATTCTATAATCATCAAATAAACAATAAATTTTACCATTCAAAGTTAAATATAAAAAACACTTGAAAACTTATAGAAGTAAATCCTTAAATAATATGATTATTAATATTCTTCTAAATTCATTAAACTTTATGTAATTTTAACTTAAACTGTATGGTGTTTTAATGAAGTCGATAACAGTAGGATGATAAATTATTATTAAATGATAAAATGTAGGATACTTTTCGATATATAATATGACAAAGAAATATTTTGTTTTACAAATATCCAAAATATTCAAAACCACAATTTTTCTGTTAAAAAATTCAAATATAGTTATTATTTTCGAGAACATAATATCACATACAAGATAAAAGATTAATATTTATAATTAAATAACATGCCTATTATTTTACATAGATAAATTGTATTCAAGGGTTAAAAATACATGAAATATTTTTTAATGAATTATAAATAGATTTATGAAAAGAAATTATTTTGACCACAGTTAATATTGTAATAACTTTTTTTTTAATCATAAAATATTTGATAAAATATTTTTAACTTTAATTAATACAATTACTTTATTATCCCACTAAAATAATATAATAAAATCATAAAATAATGTATTTACTTTTAAATTCATTTCTAGCACATATTTAATATCTTTGTCGTTTGATAAACACATACTATTGGAACAATATAATATAATAAAAATTGAATGACTGTTATAAAATAAATCTATTAATACCTGATGCATTTTTGTTAATAGTTTAATTGATAGTTACACATTTATTCAATACTTAAAATTACGTGATAAAAGTTTCTCGCAACAATGAGTAATAAATTATTTTAACTCGTTTTTAATACATTAATCATCAACTAACTTTACAAGTTTGTCTAAATTTCATAAAGTATTAATTATGCACGTTTATTATTTTTTATTTATTTATTTATAATATTTTTATAATATTTTATAATAATTTATATAATTATATATATATATATATATATATAATATATATAAAAAATATATATATAAATAAATATAAATAAAAATATATATATAAAAAATATATAAAAATATAATATAATATAATATAATTATTTATAATAATAATATTTATTATTATATATTAAAACATTTTTAACAAAAACTCAAAATTAATCGCACTTTTAAGTAAGGAAATAAAAAAATTAAATAATAGAAAGAATTATTTTTTACGTGGAAACTTATGTACATTACTAAATATGGTAGAAAAGCAACGATAAGGCCTCCATGATAGAAATATGCCAAGAAAATTAAATGAAATATAAAAAGCATAAAACTCAAACTTTCCAGTTTTGATTCATTCATTATAATTAATCTTTAATTTAACTATTGTAATAGCTAAAAAATTAATGTATTCTGATACTGATGATACTTCTAGTTGTAATAATAAGTAACTAATTCACGTGTTCAAAATTTTACAGGAACTATAATGCTTTTGAATCAGAGAATATTTTAATTATATAATTTCACAATATCTTGCTATTTCCTGTACTTGCAAAATTTTTGTTCGACTATGCTTTATGGATGTACTATAAAAATTAATGATTCTATTTTTCTACTATATGATTGTTATAATTGTATAATTTTCAGATATTGAATTATAAATAATTGTTTGAAAACTTTGTAAATTATAAAAAAAATTTGGGAGAATTTTTTACTTTTGTATGCAATTAATTTATAAACCACAAATGTGCATTTTCATTAAATTATTTTTTTAATGTTATAATACAGAAAATTCATATTTTGTTTCCAAAAGTTTACATATTTAAATTTCATTAATATGTTGATCAAAACTTTTCTTGTTAAATTGAATGCATAGGACGATCAGATCTCCGTTACCATTTTTTTTTCATATCTTCATACCTGTGTTTATCATTCTTTTTTTATTTTCAAAAGAAATGTTGAAATTTTAAGAGCTATAAAAAACGATAAAATATACTATATCTATTTAAAAATACTTATATAAATTGGTCTTTCGTATTATAATATTATATATTTATATAAAGTATATGTTATGTTAAGGGTTAAGACGATACAAATACAGATACTAATGAAAGATCCATTCGTTCACTCTGAATATTTGGAAACTATTAACTTTGTCACGCGGAATTTTCTTATTATTCCAAAGTGGTCTTATTCTAATAATAAATAAACACTTTTAAATTAATAACATTTATTTTCGATAAATTCTTTAACTATATTTTGTGAATAACTTTCATCAAATTTCATAAAGATATTATCCCAAATATATATAATTCAAAGTTTATAATTCTAATTTACTCGTACTATATTTATCCATTCTTTGTATTTAAAATACAACTTTATTAATTTCAATATACACATATATTATTTAAATACCTTTACTAGTTGACGAATATAATTATAGAATTAAATATTTTATTAGAACCTACAACGGCAAATGAAATAAATCCAACTAATGGAATGGTATCAGTGAAAATGAAGTATTGATTTCAATTTAGTCGTACATTAAACATAGTCATAAAATATTAAACAAAACATATAATATTATACAAATGATATTGTTTAATGGCGTAAGAAATAAATAACTAAAATTATGCGTATAATGAAGTACAATTAAAAATTTTGTTTTATAAATATAATTATTTTAATTTTATTTTCTTTACATATCTTTTTTATCAATTTTATAATAAATATTGATAAATTTTATTAAATACTAAATGTTTAAAATAACATATTTTAAATGAAAACTATATCATTCATAGTGTGGAGTTATTTTAATTTTATAACACATATGTAGATTTTTCATACTACTACAATAAATATAAAAATAATCCAATTATTTCATATAATCAATTTAAATTAATCAAATTCATATAGATTTTATGTAGCATCCCATATTTAATTAAAAATTATAAAAATATACATAAATATGTAATTTAAATCATTTTAGATGTGAATTTAGTCGCAGAACCAAAACCTCATCAAACAGGACGTAAACGGCAAAATATGGCTAAGACCGGAAACGATTGGTAAGTTCATAAAAGAGATTGTGTACGAAACATTTATGTATTAAAAGTAAATAAATATGTAATATTAAAATATATTAAATATCTAGGTATAGATCTATTAAAAAATAATTACTATATAATCATATAAATAATAAAGAAAATATTGATAATATACGACATAAATTATTAAAATTATTTTTTTTTTTAAATAAACCATTTTTAAGTTTATTGATTTTTTTATATTATTAGTATTTTACTCCTATATTATAAAGTTTATCAAAAAAATATTATTTATTTTTATCTTTAAATGAAACTGAATGATGTCTTCAAAGTTTTTAACCAATTGTTTTGAAAAATAAATGAACATTACTAATATCATTACTAATTACAATACATTTATCACATTATCATATTAGATATTACAATCTTATATCAAAATTATTTTTCTTGCAACAGTGCAATAGTGATATTTCTTGCAAATGTGATAATAGATATAGAAAATATATTAAAATGAAAAGGATATTCAGTAATCAATTTGTAGGTATGCATACAATTTATAAAAAATTACAAAAATTTAGAAATACATAGAAGGAAATTTGTTAATTTATAAATTAACTTACAAATAATATTATGTTCTTAAATATTTGTTAAAAACCAAAACCTATTAAATTAAATATTAAATAAAAAAAAAAAAAATCAGTAATTTAGAACAAATTGTAATCTTTCTTATATGTAAAAGATTTTACCTTTTAGCAGGTAAAATTTTTACGGTACAGATGATATATATCGTTTATCATATAAATACAATAATACAATTTTAAAGTATTATTACAAAGTAGTTTGTTAAAAAAAATGTATTGAATTAAACTAATTAATGGATTGAATTAATTTCTTAATTATACTCGGTTTTTCTCTGAGTAACATACTAAATCTATATTAAATATACGATAGACGACAATTAAAATATTACATTGTTAACTTTATTCTGATTTATTAATTACAAGTATCATGCTGTAGTTATTTTATTTACAATATATTGTAAAGTACACTACGCACTTTTGTGATATAATTAGCAGTATTTTAATCTATGAGTAATTGTATTCTAAGATTGCAATATAAAATCGATGCAATATTGTAATATATTGTCTGTGAATATTTATCATAATTTAATGGAAGGACGAATCTTTATGGAGATATACATATACATATATATATATACTTATACATTCAGTTATTTATTTAGAAACAATAATTATAATATAAATTGACCAATCATCACGTTTTATATTATTTTTGTTTTAGTTTTATTGATTTAAAAGAATACATGAGAATAAAATATAAAATAATTAATGTGAGAATTATTGCATATGAATACTTAATTTTCTATATAAACAATGTATATTTACTCTAATTGATTAGTATCAATATTTTTCTTTTTCATTTAACATTACCATTTCTTATATTTCGTCCATTTTCCGGATGCCAATTCAGACATTATTAATATTATTTTTCTAATTTTGTTAAATTATTTTTATATATTAACGATGATACGAATTATTCTATTCTTACCAGTTTAATAAATTATAATCACATTAATATACATTTTATACATCAGTAATTATAATTGTAAGTTAATATAATTATTATTAAAGTACGTTTAAAATAGTACATTTAATTTGCTTTTCAAATTCTGTCTTTATTATTTTAAATTATCCTATCATCTCAGTTAATATGATATAGCTTATCATTTTGCACGTTCCATTTCTTTTTCTCCTCTTGATCTGTCTATCTCTATTTATCCATCTATCGCAAATTTTTTCGGAATATAATATTTCTACTATCCTTATTGCGTATCGCATATCATATTCTCGACATAAAAATATACCGCTAGTGAGTCCCATAATAATATAAATATAAATGAAATTTATGACGCTTTCACCAAGCAACCTTACCTATACTTCTTGCCTATGTCTCATAAATAAAAAATAATAAAGAAAAAAGTTAAAAGCAAAATGAAATAAAAATTCTATTTGCAAAATGTTAATGCATATAATAGTATATGATATTTTCCTTGATAATATATAAAGAAACTAAATACACGTTATAAGAACTTATATATCTCGAATTTTATAATATCAAATACGAGTATTCAAATATAAGTATTCAAATACTTTTTACAAAATAATTTGGATCAACAATAATTTGACAATAAAGATAATTGTTCCGATACAATTGTAGTTATAATTATCAATATTTGATTTTATTAGTTGTATAAAAAATGTTATTTAATATTTCATAATTGTGTAAATATAAACTTTGTTTTAATTATGTGATTTTCTTAGGAATTATATGGAAAATAAGGAAAATTTTTCTTAGGAAATATATTACATGATTTATTACTTATGTTTATAATTGTGACTTATAAACACTTTACAATGTTACAAAATATTATTTACATATTTTTTAAAAACAATTTATTCTCATTCGCTTTAAACATTTCCGTAAAATTCATAATATGCCGTACGCTTTATATTTATGATTCATTTCAGAAAAATAGATTTATTTTCGAATTGACTAGTTAATAAAATCAGTCGATCATTTATTAAAACAACTTTTTAAATCTGATTTAAAAAATAACACCATAAGCATTGATTCGATTCAGTTATTAAATAAGGAGTATTACATTTATAAGCTTAGATACAGACTTAAAATTACTAATGTTTAATGTCTTCATAATAATAATTATTATTATAATATTAATGAAAAATATATAAATTAGAAAAATAATTTTTGAAAATAATTCTGAGGAATAAAAATAGTAATAAAAATAA